ATTTGCTACATAAGGGACCACACTAAAGCAAAGTTATATTAAAATAAACATTTGATTCCCCTAATGGAAAAGCGGTCGTTTAATTTTGATCAGGAAAAAATAGAATCTCACTACTTTTTGTAGAATCTCCCAATTTTTTTTCATGAGTCTACAGATTTTCCTTTATCAGGAGTTGGCAGGTCTGTATGAGGAGCTGAGTACCATTCAAATAAAAGGCGGAAACATTTGGAATACTCCCAGAGATATGATGATATACATTTGCATTAATATCTTTATTTGCGCAGAGCAAATTGTACCTCAAATTTTAAGATATCAAATGAGCAAAACAAGCTTTATACAAACAAAAATGAAATGAGAAAGTACTGTAACTCATTTATATAATTTACAGAAGTCCCCTGGTGACACTAGCCAAGTGCTGATAGGGCAAGACTCCCAATCTCATGGTTTTCTGGGAAAGCAAAAGGCATCTTAAAATAACAAAAGGCACATAAGGCTCAGCCGAATGGTACCATAATGACGTCAAAACGTATGGAAACAGGACTTTTCTCCGAAACCCGCCCCATTCCCCTATGGCTATTTTTATTTGCGTTTGCCCTACCTCACCTCCCCTCCCTGTACTTGATGAAACAAGGCTTTCAGCAGTTTGTTGAGATAGGATGCTTTTTGTTTTAAAGGATGACCTCATCATATTTTATTATCGTTGAGATGGGGGTAAGGTAAGTTAACAATAATAGACAGATTATTATAGGTGGGTTACTCATTTTTACAGCTATCCCTGGAAGAAGAAATAGAAGCAAGGAACTGACTGGCAGCCACTGAGATTGAGGAGAAGAGAAAGGAAATTGAAAGAGAAGAGAAAGAGTTGAAAGGAAAAGAAGAAAGGTTAAGACAAAAAGCAAAAGAAATTAAAAACACAGTAATAGAGGCCAAGTGGGTAGCTGCCCAACTGCAACTAATGGCAGGGCAGCTAGACCTGCTTGGCTAACCAAATTCTAGAAGAGACCAAAAGTTAAAGAAGAAGTAAAAGAAAAACACCACTGTAAGAAAATTTTATTGATAACAAACCGTTTCTTTTAATCAAAGTCAATGTGCAAAGTTTTTAAATGTAAACAAGTCTAAGTCAGACCTGTTATGCAAGAAAGAAAACACATTTGCTCAGTATATAAAAAATAAAAGGAAACTGTTTCTTCTAATTTCTCGTATCCTGTATGGTCTCTTCTTGCTCCATGGAATCCACTCCATCTAACATCCTCCACTTCCCGCACCGCACTACTCTCATCATGAAATCTATTATACTAGATCTTTACAGACATCCAGTAAGCAGCACCTCCTCCATCATACACTGCATGTTTTTTCTCATCATCTACAGAGTATTCCCAACCAAGGAAGGACCTAATTATAAAATCAGTCGGATAAAAAGAGATTATTATATATACAAAAGTCAAAACAAAATAAAACAATAAAGGCAATATTATCACTTAAAATCCCTAATTATTTGTTAAGCATCTCTTAAATCAGATATTATAATGGTTTTCCTCACTTATTCCCTAAACTTCACATTAATATAGGTGAGTTAAACCACAAACACCACCCCCCCCAAGCAACGGTAAAAAAAAATATTTCTCCCTTGAATTATAAATTTTTGTAACTTCAAGCAACCTATCAAGATAATCCAAACACGGGTTTCTAATCTTAAACCAATAGCTAAATGAATACCTGTCAACCTAACTGTAATCATACCATAGCAATGGCAAGGCTATGTGAAATATATTAGCAGAGGCAGCACAACAGCAAATTTTAAAGAGGGGCTTTAGAGCTATTATCATGGAACACCTATAGTCATGGAATGATTGTCGTTACTAAGTTACGCCTACCAAGAAATTACCACAAAGCTACATCAGCTGGGTGATAAAACTAATAATAATAATAATAATAATAATAATAACGTCTTTATTAAAAAGCATCCGATAAAATTACATATCTGATGTTACAGTAAAAATATATATCGATAGAAAAAATTACAGTGACAAGATGAATAAAAAAAGATTAAATTGATTAAAAATACATATGGGGTATTTACACAGCTAGATTATATTTAAAAATTAATCTATTAAAAAAGCTATCTTTGAAACGTTCAGTGTTAATGCTGGGCCTGACAACGGATATCCTTCGAAGGTTTACAATACAGTCTTTGTACCTTGGGAGCAAGCTTTTTAGTGGATGGTCATCGCGTTTGAGGTTATAAAAAAGGCGTCTGTCGCTTTTCTCCAAAAGTTCATATATGTTGTAATTGACCGACGTATAACGCCTCTTATAACATCTTTTTAAAAACCTTTGTATAACAGTAAGTTCGGAAACACTTGCAGCATAAACTGAAAGACCGTATAATAACTTAGGGATCACAATTGAATTAAAGAAGTGGTCTATTTCATCTTGTGTATATCCTTCTTTACGTAGGCAAATAAACACTTGTTGGCTTCATGGAGCTTGGCCTTGACATGCAAGCCAAACTTACAATTACCTTGAATTGTGACGCCTAATAAAGAAATGTTATAATATTCTTTGATATTGTGAGACATTGGGTAGACTGTTGAATTGCCTCTCTTACAAGGTGGGTGATAAAACTGTACAAGCAGGCCCCGAATTGTTGGAACTGGAAAGTGTCACTTGATGTAACTGACAATAGCATGGAGTCCAAGTAAGTTAAAAAGCATCAATGATTGAAAATTAAACTGATGCCCCTGCACTCCCACTCCCAGTAGATCCCCTGCCTTGTCATTACCTAATAAACATACATTGATACTCGTGTCATTTTCTGAACTCGTATAGTTATTGAACTATATTGTGGTTCTTGGACTTTGGTGCCTTTATTAAACTACACAAAAAGGAAAACCGAAAAAATGTTACATAAAAAAGTCTCTTTTTCTATTGTAAAAGTGTGAGAAGGGTGATGATATTCATCGCATGAAAATCCTGCAATTTTTTATATCCTTAGAAATTTTTTTCCCCTCATTTTTAAGATGCGGACGCCCGAGGAAACACATTTTCAATATTGCACCATTGAAACGCTTAATAGTGTCCGTTTTCTTGGCTTTTTCTAGTTTTTTTTTCCTATTAACTCTGTAAAGCGATTAAGGCAAAGCTACATACCCATCCTTTCTACGGCTCCTCCTCCTGGATTCTCTGCATAAAGCCCTAAAAATGTTGATGTTGATCAAAAACTTTATCTCACGGCACATTACCCTAGTGATAGATTCTGTTTGACTATTTACAGGATAAAAACCATGTTCTCCTTTGTTTGTGGAGCGAAGAAGCAAAGAGAAAGGCAATGTGAACTTAGGGAAGGACCATTAGAAAAGTTATGGGGGGGGGAGGGGAATTTTCGAGCTGCAGCTCGAAAATTCCTTGTATGAATTTTTTTCAGGCCCTTGCATGAATATTTCTTAGGGTTCATTGGCGTGCAAGAATTTTTTTCATTTAATTTTCCCTTGCGCGAATTTTTTTTTTGGTACTTCCCCCCCCCCCCCCCCCCCCCGTAAGTTTTCTAATGGTCCGTCCTTTATCTCCATCATGAGCAATGAATGTTTTGACAAAATGATCGTAATTTATGGTGAAACGTTGCAATATAATAAGCTATAATAATATCCTTGGTTATCGCGCGACGATTAGATTCAATACGCTTTATTAACATTTTGATACGTTTGACTCAAACAGGAAATCCTTTCAAAACCCTTGAAGATTATAGCCCATATTCTATCAAAAAAAAAACCACTTGCTTCTTACATTTGTTTAGTTTTAATCAATTGTTTACACAGTTTGATAGTCTAGTATGAACATCATGACGCTATGTTTCGTGACCTGTCCACGCCACTTTCGCAATTTTTGTAAACCCTGAGGTTTGCGACTTTTATCCCACCGATCATTTTTGCTAACTTATTAGATGACTCACTTCTATCACTAATTGAGAGACCTATACCATATTAACGTCATTTGTTTTTCTCGAGACTAAATTCTGCTGGGCTCTTTAGTTATGCGTCTCTAAGACGCCCCGGTATGAGTTGTACCATCTGGTCGATCTCGGGAAGTTCTTGATTTTTTACGATGGAAATCCTCTTTCCTAGAATAAATTGCAATTTTACTATATAGCATTAATAGATAAACACATACCTTCGGTCGTTTCATCGCAACGTCTCGACTTTTACCACTTGAAACCACGAAACAATTTCGCTCGATGAAACCATTTAAAGTTCCCGGGATAAATTTCTCGTGAAGTCACGATGGCCAAGATCATCCGCCGCGCGATCCCTATAGGAGCGATTGACGAGTTCATCCCCCCCCCCCCCGGGTAAAGCAAAAATTCTCAAGGTCTTTTATGGCAGGAGCTTTTAAGGGAAGATATGCGCACATCGCAAACCCCTCGTCTTCCCAAAATATTAAAACTACCAAAGAGATTTATCGAGTGACCTAACAGTACCCGAAGTTTTCTCGCTCCTCACTAAGCCAATGGACTTTGAAATACAGTGACTACGAAACAACGAAACGGAAAAACGTGCGTCTCTCAATCCTATTTGTTAACAAATTTGAGGTAAGGTGTAGGAGTCTAAGGTCGCGAAAGTAAAAAGACAAATTGACATGGCTCCTGATAATATTGAGAATCACGAGAACTTCTTAACATTTTTAATCTACGATAATAAATACACCGATCATAAAAGTCAAATTTTTAAAGCAGTTAGATAGAAGGTTCCTGCTTTTCATACTAAAAAGCAAACAAGACAACGAAATAAGTAGATTGAATGTTAATTAGATCGCACTAACAACATTATAACTAACCTGTTATTATCGTATGCTTAAGATTGAGTCTTTGTTTTCTCGGTCTCAAGCGACAGACATACGACCCAGATTCTAGTGATTCTACTGTAAAACCATTAACAACGGTATCAACATTAAAATGTTTTTCAGATAGGACTACTTTCCCGTCTCCTCGTTCCACTCAATAATTCTCAAGGAGAATGATTGACATTACACAGAATTTCGCTGTTAATAGTCCCACGGCACGTAGGGCAACGGAAATCGCCATTATTTTTATGTTCCTGCACACATTGTCTGCAGTACAAGAGATGAGAACAAGGTAAAATAATGCAGTCACGTTTCCTCACAAAGCAAATCTGGCATAGCAGTGCAGCCTTGGTTTCTTCCAGCTCCTTTTTCAGAGCATCATTCTCTCCAGTAGCTTTGGATTCTGTATCTTTCAACATTTTTTCGAATTCGTCTCGTTGTTTCTGACTATCCCGCTTCCACTGTTGCTCATACTTTCGATAAATTTCTAAATCAAAATCTTGTAGCTGGCCAACCATCTCAGCGTGTTCCATTTTCAGGTTATTCACTTGCCCTGTGAGAGAAATCTTTTCATCTTTAAGCGTAACAGCACAGTCACGTAAGTTTAGCAGCTGGGAGAGGATACAACTCATTTGCGTCAGCTCCTCTGCAACCTCTTGATCAAGTTTGTAGGAACTCAACTGACCTGTTAATAAAAAGAAATATATAGATCACAATGACTCGATAGCAAATCACTGCAGACTGTCACAAAGGAACGTGGACTTTAAGGGCAAGTTCATGAGTTACTTTGTACTGCATGTTTGAAAATTTACTAAGAGTAACCTTTTAGAATTGATGACTTAACAATTCCTCTACATTGCGCGTTACTCTATTATCCATTCTCTAACGAGATGTTTTGCCGAAGCCTACATATTTAAACTAAAAACGTTGTAATAGAACTATTGCCTTAGCTCACTTGAAGGCTTAGACAAGGGCGATAAAGCAAAGCTACAACTATATATAGATAGGAACGCTAGCACCCTGGAAACACCTTTAATGTGGCGAGCTACACTCTCTCAACTTTAAACTGCTTTTAGGATAAAAAAAATTTCAGGACTAACAGAAAATTAAAATATAACTTGAATGGCCAATTTATTCCTTGAGCATTTTCTGTTTTGGTTTTGGGTTTTGTGCTTTTTGTACCACTTTATGGTAATTAGAACAAGTAGGTGTAATTAGAGAAGAGCTTTACCTCGGTTTGCATCATACTCCCGGTACTCAGTGACACCATGTGGCCAGGTGAAAAGAGCGCAGCCCTGTAAGGAACCTTCCTTCCAAGTCCCTTCCTGAATGGTTCCATCTGGCAGCTTTAAGGTACCATATCCTGTCATTTTGTCAAACTGCCACTGTCCCTCATACACAGCCTCGGAGGTGAAAATCATTTGCCCATGGCCGTGCCTAATATTCGAAGTAAGCCAAAAAATTAAGCAAAATCTATGACTGTTTCTATATTATACCCTCAGACTCAAATCGTGGCTGACAAAAGTCCATTTATCACCTTGAAAATCTCAGTGCTATTAAGATGAAGAGTTTGTAGATTGAGACTTTGAAGAGTTTCTTGCGTTAGGAGCGTAAACATTAGGGAGTTTAAGATACTCCGACTACGGACTACGGCTACGGATAAACATGCTACTGCGCATGATCAAAACCACGTGACTGTTCATTTTTCCCGCGTAGTCGTGCGGCTACGGTGAGTTGTTGAGCTGTTTCGCGTAGTCGGGACTACGGAGAACATTTTGCTCGTATTTTGCCGTCTCGGTAATTCAAGAATCTCGTCTTTTCGTAAAAAAGGTTCAATTTGCCTGCTTTAAGTGAGAGGGAAGCGAAATATGTAAGTTGTGTCTAATTTCTGCTCAGATTTACGCTTTTAATCCACCGTTGTGACTACATTTTTATCTAGCTAAGCTCATATTTAAAGAAGCTTAGCTGTTTATACGCAGAATTCCGATTGATGGCCGAGGAGAAGAGAAATCATGCAGGTAATTTACTTTCTCTTCACACTTGAAAAGTTTCAATGTTTGTTCGAACTGATTAGTGTGTCTTTCTACTTGTGTGACCTTTGTTTATGCGAGTTTTTGTATCGCATTTGCTGAATGAAAATGATGTAAACATCTTCGAGACAATCGAAACTGGGCATTTCAATACTTCAAACTACATCAGATCAGTAGTCGGAGAAGTCCATCTTCTAAATCTAATAAATGAGCTATTACTATTTCTGTCTATTTCTTTGATATTTTACATAAGTATTCATGGGCGAAAAAAATCAAACCTGTGCAACCAAAACTTTGTTTACCAATTTCACCCGAGCTACGGTGATGGAACAAGGAGTAAAGTTGTAGGCGAATCAACTTGTACGCGAATCGACTTGTACGTAATTGCTTCCTTCAAGTATGGAAGAATTTGTTCATTGTTCTAAAGATAAGATCACATGCAAAACTGACTCGCATTTTTGTGAACTGTGGTGAAAACAAGAAAATCTTTGCGTGTTGTTTCCCTCTCCGCCTCTTCTCTCGTAGTCTGCCGTCTGTAGTGGAATCTTAACGTTCTATATTTGCACGACTCAACCCAGTGCTACAAACAAACGACAACGCTCGTCCAGCCGTAGTTCGTAGTCCGTAGTCTCCGTATCTTAAACTCCCTATTAAAGAAGGCCCCCCAAAACACATTAATTACCTCTCAACAATTATCGACTTCCAGTCATTTCTAAGAGGGTTAAAATGGGACAGGGCTTCAAAGAAATGAGTTTTAAAAGTAAAGTAACGAAACACGTAAGAAAAAGGGTTAATATTAAAAAGGCTTTCAATGTTTTATCACTCGAAAACTGTCCCTGACAAAAGCTGCTTTACTGATGGTAATTACTAGTACCCTAAGACAAGCGGTATAGTAAATATTAATATTATTATTATCATTAGGAGGCGAGGTGTCTTCGAATAAACTACACCTCATGTTGTGTTTCCATCCACCAATGTAAAATCCTTGTTCAGCCGCCGAATGGTTAGATCCTGGAACAGGGAAAATGAGCCCTTCACCCTTCCCATGTCTCTTGCCTGAATAGAAAAGGGGGTAAATGTTTTGTTAGGGAAGGGGTAGGTGGGGGACTTCCAGGTATACTCTACTGACTGTTCAAAATGAAAGGAAATCACCACACTACAATGCGATCTCTCTTATTAAACTGGATAACTAGTGAAGCCAGAAAACCTTTTCCACGTCTTCGTAGGTAGTTATCAAATTGGAACAAAACAAATTCACTTTCCAATTTATCAAACCATTGGCACAACGGAGTAATCTGACAACTTTAGGTTTCGTCTTATTATTCATTTATGTATATGTACAATTTCTATTCACAGGCTATCAACTTGAACCATGTTCAACTGAACCATTAAATGGTCTTCAAATCGGTTCCCTAATAAATCTAAACGGAACTCATCAAAAACGTAACTGCGTTTCAAGTTGCATCAAACTTCGTGAAAGGAAAATTTTTACTGAAAATGAAACATTTCAAAATATCGTAAAATTCCGAAAATAAGCCCCTCCAGGTATAAGCCCCTCCAAATATAAGCCCCCCAAACTCGTAAGGTAAAAAACCCTCCGTTAAATCGCCTCTCCAAATATAAGCCCCTCCGGGGGCTTGTACTTGGAAATTGCCCTCAAATACAAAGTAAAACAAAGAGAAACGGTAAATTTACTTCCAACTATAAGGCCAGCCAAATCAAGTTTGAAACGCAAATTTCCCTCCGTACATAAGCCCCTCCAAAAATAAGCCCCTCAAAAAGGGCCTTTGAAAAATATAAGCCCCGGGGCTGATTTTCGGAATTTTACGGTACCGAAAGGCTAATTATTAAAACAAAAGATCATTTACGAGGAATAGAGGGAGATAGCTGAAATGTAAAAATTTAACAGTTTTTTTTTACCTCTGCACCAGTCTCCAGAATAAATGAATTCGCCTGTCGCAGTTTTCAGAATTCCTCGTCCATGTGGAAGCTCTCGTAAACTACAAGAATCTGCTTCTTGAAATGACACATGTCTACGTGGAGGTATATGCAGCAAAAGGTCCTCGCTAGTTGATGGCTTTAGGTATTTACTGCTGAATGGATCTCGGGCATAGCTGCATTCCATTTTGGTTTTAAAGGTGATGGCTTCGAGCTTAGATTGGACTTCCCGCATATCAACTTTTCTATTGGTGTATAAATCTGACGGTAAGAGACAGACAAAATAATCTGGATCAGTTACTTGGTTAGTACAGAGCTCAACAAAGTCAAAGTCATCAAAACGTCTCAGTGAAAAGAACAATAGGGTTGCTTTCTGGACTGCCTTGGCAAGATGGTGAATCGGTTTTTCCATACAGAACATCATTTATTCATTTTGCTGATTCGAAATTCTTATACTTGAAAGATTCAATTTGTGCTCTCTATGCATTGCTAGAAAATAACTGTCTTCATAGTTGTGAATTGTTTCAACTGATTTTTTTAAAAGTACTTCTATTCTGATTCCGTTATTATTGATAATTTGGCTTTTTTTCAGAAAGGAGGCCGGGTTATCAATAATGTATAAAACCTGGGCACGCTTATTTGAGGGGGGGCCTCATTCAATTGAATACGGTTTCTCACCTTTATTTTCACGTGGGGATGATTCTTTACCAGATAAATCACTTGCTTCTTTGGTGTTCAACTCGTTCATAGTCATCATCCTTTGGAAAAGCTCTCTTTGAATGTCAGCACAGCGAATCAAGGCATTTAAAGGATCTTGCAGTTCACCTAGCAGAGTCCGGGGAGCACCGTTTACGCTCTTTTCTGAGTTCTCCGTGTCCTTCACGTAAGAAATCTTTGATGCGTCATCTAACCCCCCTGCTGCGTTCAACGTGTCGCACTCACTTGTGATATTATCCAAACACACTCTTGTGCTTTTAGCGTGCTTGGAATCAATATTTGCCAGTTGAGCACCATTTAATACACACTCTTCTGCTTTTTCAATTCCGGAAGTCTCCGGTAAACTCGCTGATGTGTCACTACATTCCAAGCCAGTATCAGATGGCCCTGTGACATGAGCCTGTAACTTGAGTATCAGAAGTCTGTAGAGAGAGTTCTGAATCTGCGTACATTTAACAATGCTGCCGAGAAGCGCATCTCTAAGCTGCTTGGCTTCTGAAATAGACAGAGCTGTTGGCATTTGTCTCTCAGTGGCATGGGTCTGAGCTGCACTAAACACACAAGCAGGATTTGGTTCTGACGTAAAGCTAATGTTTGGCGTGGGAGAAAACAAAGTGCTTGGCGAAGGTGCTTGAGGAGTTGTCTGCGAAATCAAATTCACTTTTGGGGTGAAGGTTGTTTGTGAAGCAGTTTTTGGTAGGACAAAGGGAGGATCTGTTGTGGATCCTGCTGAAAATGAGAAAAGGCCAAGCTCAAGGTTAACGTCTAGAAACAAAAATGCTTGGTGTCCGTATTAAGTACAAATGCATGATCTTTAAAAACAACTTTCCGATTTTAGCCAGACCAAGTAGTATAGTAGGCAACTCTTCAAACCATTTTGTGAAGAATTCTCATTTAAGCATCCTCAGGAATACTTGGAATTATTAGAGGACTGAAGACATATGGAGATCGAGGATGGTGTTATCCCTCGAAGTTCATTTAACGCACAAGTTTTTAAACAGTCCTTTTTTTTTCCTGTGAAGGAAAAACTTGATAAGGGGTTAAATTTTGCCTTAAAAAAGAAATGGGTCATTATGCAACTTATTGTAGTGAATAATAACCTGAGATTGGGCCCAATTTTAGCATCTTCCTGCACGAGATTAAGTGAACAGCAGCACGAAAAAACAACCAGCTTTTTTTCAGCTACGTTTTAAATATATTTGTTGTGATGTTAAAAAAATTCATACTTTGCTTACCAGTAATCGTCTTATTTAACGACAAATTTGACACTGATCGCTTCAAAGCAGCTGTTCGCCGTGCTTTTTTCGACACCCTCCTGAGTAAATTGGACGAATCAACACAGCCTACAACAACAACAAGGTGAAATACGGGATATTTTTCAGGAAAGCGGGAGGCTGAAGAGTACGTAACAGTTCATCAAGACACAAAGCGCTGAAGCTCACGTTAAATTAACTTTGGGGTAAGGCATGGTGGGGAGTGGCGCGAAATAGAGGGCGGAAGAAAAAAAGGTCACTTTTTTGCGCCGTTCTCACTACTCTGAACACCAGGAACAGGCTAGTTTGAGATTGACTTAGCCATCACATTAAGAGTTTCAACGTGGCTAACGGATCAACGGGGGTAGATAAATGTGATTTTGACTTCAGTAAAGGCGTACCCGGGCTTGTTGGAGGTGAACAGTCGCAGATACATTCACTGGTCGGTGACCCTTACTTTTCTTTAATAGTTAGATTTCTTTTCAAATTTTAAGACAAATTCGTTCTGACAAAGACCAGCGCTTGTGTCAACTTTTTATTCTCCCTACAGCAGCTAATTAACTTCTCTACTCACTTGATGAAACCAAAAACAAGAAGTACGTTGTATGATCAAACTAACATGACTTAATGGGCGTTGCTTACAAGTTCCTCAAATTTTTAGCAACACGGCACCGAGTCCTGCTGCTGCTCTCAGGCAGGGGGTAATTGAAGTCATGTGGTTACTGAAACAAGTTGATCAATGGACAAACTTTAGCGGATTGTTGCATTACAGGATTCAGGTCCAACAATTATTTTGTCATTAACAGGCATGAAAAACCTTCTAGTATCCAGAAACGAAGACAAAGTTGATTTCGGAAATACTCTGTTGCCTAAATTTAGTATTATGTTAGGAAAAAGTTTTATCCCACCTGAAAAGATGTTGGCACTGAAGCTACTGCACTGCATAGACGAAGAACGGGGTAACATCTCTAATGATTCTAGCGCTACCGGAAATGATGGTAATGGTGATAACGACAACGACGCCGACGAAGAGAAAGACGAGGAAGACGAGGAGGAGAACGAGGAGAAGGAAGAAGGCTTAAATAAATCACTAACTTCTTTTCCAATAGCCAGATTTGAATTAAGGTAGTCTTCTAAACGCAACTCCTGTCACAATAATCAAGAGCAGAGTGCAAAGTAAGAACTATATTTCCAACCAAATTTAAAAATATAGTTTCCCTATATAGCCATTAAGTGTAACTACCATACAAAAGATATTTTAGCTAATTAGAAAGGTTCGCTTTTACGATATCTAACTTACTTCAAAACTCTTGTTGGAGTAAAAATCCATCAAAGTTAAACTTTGAAGTCTCATTGAAATGTTGGTTGTAATTCCATTAATAACCATAGAGTCCATATCCCTTACGACCTGAAAACAAAATACAGTACAAAAGAATGCGAATCAATGTTGAATGGAACTAATGGCTTTATCATTTATATGTATACTGAAGACACTATTGTAAAAAACGTCCTTCTTCGATAGTGTACACAAAACAGCAATACCCTAATAATACTGCTACTACTACTAATAATAATGATAACTTACATAGCGCCGATAGCAATATTGCTATTTTCATCAACGCTTAAACAAATAAAATACTACGACTGCATAAAGTATATAAAGTGCATGAACCTACCAAAAATAGCTAAAACAATTATGTCAAGACAAAAATTATAAAAATTACCTACACAACTTAAATCGCAAAAAAACTGCATAAAACCTACTAATAACTAGATTAAAAAGCACAAAAAAAAATTACAAAAAAGCTTTCTGAAATAAAAATGTCTTGAGTGTCTTTTTAGAAGATGCTACCGAGAGGCTACTCCTAATCGCATAGGGCAATGAATTCCATAGTTGAGGAGCAGCAGCAGCAAAAGATCGATCTCCTAACGATGTCAAACTCTTGAATTTCACAGGGTTTAGTAGCATTCCATCACAATCGGAGCGTAACTTGAATTTACAGACTTCTTTAAGATTAATAAGTTCCTGGAGATAAAAAGGCGCTACGCCATTGATAGCCTTATACGTTTAACAGTAATATCTTAAAGTCAATTCGGAATTTAACCGGCAGCCGCTGCAGATTATACAGCAATGGTCTTACATGGCAGTATTTAGATTCCTGGAAAATTAACCTAACGGCAGCATTTTGGGCCCTCTGTAGCTTATTAAGCTGGTAGGCTGGCAGGCCATAGAGCCGGCTGTTACAATAGTCGACGCGACTTGAGACCAACGCGTGAATGAGCGTCTCAGTGGACCGCCTGGGAAGATATTTCCTAATTCTTCTCATATTATACAAGTGACAAGAAGACGCCCGAAGGCGTTTACGCGAGATGTGTGGGTGTAAGAAAGAATTACGGGTATGTTGGTTGGCAAAGGAAAGTTGAGTAGTGTATGCAAGTACTGTAAGGAAGTGCCCCCCCCCCCCCCGCCCCAAAACTATTATCTCTTTTGAATAGATCATCTTGTTGGAAAGTCGTCGTTTAAGCGCAAAACGGAAGTATTTTCTTTCTATATTATCGGTGAAATGTTCAGGACAGATGTGGATTCGGTTAGCTTTTGCGTATTTATTTTTAGTACGTGATACGTAATGCCTTGTCACGACACGAAAGACAATGCGGGATTTTTTAGATTTATACTCGATTCTAGAACAATCACAATTATAATAGTCGTCTCTTTTCTTTTTTATACATCGTATTTTACTGGAATAACAGTCTTAGTTATGTTTTAGCTTCGCAGACACAGCAGTAAAAAAAGGTAAAAATATTTTTAATTAACATAGCGATTTTTCAAAATACAAAACTACTGTTTTGCGTCGCCGACAGTACTTCACGCCTGTCAGAGCAAAATTGAAAAACTAACTAATGAACCATCCTAATTTGAAGAAAAAATTTCAATGTTATTATGAAAAGCTGTTACTATCGGAAACTGTGCAGCTTGTCACGTTCATAGTGAAGGATTTTGATAGACATGCTACTTATTGCTACGTACAAGTCGACCTCAAGAGTTTCTTAGCGAGCGGAGCGTTCTTTTTAGGCCGCGAAGCCACAGAGAGAGCTACGATTTCGGACCATTTCGCAAGTAATAAATTCTAGACATTCTTAGCTTTTTGACTGTAACTCAACAGAAACAAGAAACCAACACCAGCAAGTCGCCCGGCTGGGACACCGAGACAATATTTTCAGTCGCCCGAGGCCAAGTCTTGCGCCGTTAGATCTAGAGCATAGCCTTGAGTCTTCGTCCTCCTCTACGCTGTAATCTTACTTTTCCCTTCTTTGCTGACGCAGTATCTTTTTCCGCTTGTGCAATCCAACCTGACTTGCACGTGATTCAAAGTTACAGCCAATAAAAATCACACAATTTTTGACTCCCAAGACGACGAAAGGAATGCGCTCCCGAATTTAAGACGCTGGCTGACTACGTCATCCCGCGTAATAAAAAGCATCGCAACAAGTGTTACTGGAAAGGGTGGGAAAAGAGAAAAGAAAGGGCATAGGAAGGAGGAAGGGGAGGTGAGATGACGTCATTCTAACACAGTATGCCCGAAACCTCGTTACTGGGCTGCCCATACGGCACGCCCGATTATAATTTCGGTTTTCGGTCGTTTCTGCAGAAAAAACGATCACCCGGGGGAGAGAAGACACGAGGTCTGGTCCCGAGAAACGATGTTCTCACCACTTATTATTTGGGGGTGGCCCAAATAGAGTAATGGAAACATACATATTCTCCTTTATCGTTTTCGCAAAGTAAACCAAAATCCATAAAACGTGTCTTCGGAATCTCACGCAAAATGTAGTTTTTTTAAATCCTCAACACTCCCAGGTGGAGTCATAAAAAACTCTCCTAGTATCTCCAGTTTGAACTTGAATTTGCATCACCATATTGACACATGCAGAGTTTAAAAATAGAATACGCTCCCACGAAAAACCTGACAGCACGTGATCAAAACATGTTTTCACGACAGAGACTAACCGACAACGTTTCATTGGCCAAAACTGACAGGTTTCGCTTCAAGGATGGTAGTAATCCAATGATATCATTTGATTCGAAATTTTTCAAAGCAACACTGAGTAAGAAGCACTTTGTATAAAATTTGGCGACGGTGTTTCAAGGAACGTGTTGTTGAAGTATGCTGTCGAGGTTTAAACTTACAAATGCACACTGTTCGCGGTAGGCCCGCACTAAAATAACACTGAGTGTTTTCATAATGGGCTGGTCCGCGAACTCAAAGAAAAACAAAGCAAATTGTCAAGACATTCAAAGACCATGGACCTCATAGACGCAATCACAAATAAGAATGTCAGGAGTACGTGTAAAATCGAGAAGAGTTTGAACAGAAGAATGTGTATCAGGTTTGAGAGTTGCAAGATTTGTGTAGCTGGTAATCAGTGTAACAAAAGAGATTTTGATTTTCATAATGCGGAACACAAGGAGTTGTCTGTGATAAAAATCTCTTCCGATGAAGGATAAGAAGATTGTCAACAACTGAAACCTAAAGGGACTCAGGCTTCTTTGGGAACTACTGTGATAGCGGTAACAATTCTTGTTATTCTTTGAATTTTGTTTAGCAGAGTGACTGTTAATGTACTTGTTTTTGTATTGCGCGTTGTGTTTTTCATGTAATTGTGTATTATATAGATACTGAGAAATACTCACCAAAAAGCAATGTCGTAAATTTTCGTACGCAAATTAGTTCTAGCAAATCAGAGGAGCGAACGATGGTTTTCACACGTGAAAAAAATGATACGTCCAATCAGAATCGCGAACGATGTTTTTTCACGTGTGAGAAAAATGATACTTTCCAACCAGAAGCCACAGAGGTGTGTGAGTTTCGCGCCAAAATTCTCGCCTTTTATTGCAGCTTGCAGCGCCGCTTCGCACACATTCAACGAGAAAAGTTTTACTCAAAGAGTTATTCTCGCTAAAAAAGTGAAAAACATTTCGGAAATGGAGTGGAATAGTTTCGTTTGTTTCACTGTCGATAAAGAAAACGGTAGAGAGTCGGCGAAACAACAGCGGAAAGGGAAAACAGAACAAGACGTAAGCTTTTG